AAGAGATACTGGAGTTAGTAACTACTGTCTAACAGTACTTACAGTAAACACTTAAAAATTTGTACTTTGGGTTTGCCAAAGTGGGAATTAATGCCCTTTCAAGTTTATTTAAAGACTCAGTTGAGTTCTAGCAGACTCCCTCGAAAACAAGTAAGGGTGTTGTGCATGTAACGACTGCACAGGAAATCTGGTTTTGCCTTCTACCACTTACGTTTTAAGCAGGAATGCCATCACTACACAAAACCTACAGGAATCCCACTCCGAGTAATTAAGTGACCAACCTCTTAAAAACCTGCCAGAAGCAACAGGGTCTATAAAAATCTGTGTAGTGTGTCAGTTATTTAGCTCTATTTCTGCATTTAAAATTAGATTTGGAGAAAAATAAGATTTCATAATTTTGTTGTTCGGTTGCCATGTCCAACATTCATGATTTTACTGCTAACCAAAGGATTGCCAAGACAAAGGATTAAAACTGATAAATTGAAACTGCATTTAATTTAGGAGAAAATGGGTTAACATGAGCCATTGAGGCTGTTCTTTATTCCCATCCCCCTCCCACCACCACACACCCCCCCCCACCCGCCCCCCCAAAAAAAGTCAAGGGATAGGGCAGGGTTAAATTAAAAGTATTTTAAGGGACATTTTACAAGGAGCATGCATAATGCATTGACTTTGAGTGTATTCTGAAGAAACATAGATTCCAAAATCCCTTTCATTTTCCTTCCTTTCCAATATTGGGAGCAATAATTCTGTAGAACTCCTATAAATGTCAGTCCTACCAGGATGTACTAGCTTTAAATTCAGATGCTGCCATCAAAAGATGGAAGTTTCGTTACTAGAGACAATACATACAGATCAATTCTCAAATTAGTTGTTACTCTTCAGACACTTTTCTAGTAGTCTGTTAAGTAAGAAAAATGAATGAAATTCAGTTACTTGGTAATGAGGGAACATGATACACAGGAAGCCAGTCCTCAAGAATGAGTGGTCCCCAAGTATAGGTGGTCCAAAGAATGACAAATCCATCCTCATCCCCTCACCTCTTCCCTCTCCCACCCACCATTTTTCCCCTAACGTCAAGCGCTAAATGTAAGCTCCTTAAAGGCAGGGGCCAAATTCTTTTGGTTCACTCGAATAGCCTCTGTGCTCAGGCATGTAGCAACCTGACACTAAATAAATGCCAAATTAAGTACTCAAACATTTACTGAGCAACAAGACAGCGAGGGAGGGAGGAAACGGCTCAGTGCTCTGGCTCCCAGACCTCGTCGGTACACGTAAGATTTGAGCAGCCTGACCTTGTTATTTCTCAGCGAGAAATACTTAACAAGATTGGCACCCACAATCAGTGAAGATAAAACCATTTCCTCCACCTTTTTTTAGGAATCTGTGTCCTCAAAAGTGCTGTCACATGAGAAGTAAAGAAACTCCCTGGATGTAACCCGCAGGTTCGTCTTTCTTCGTTTCAGCTGGATTTAACGAAGTCAATAGGCTCGGTGAAGCAGCCTGCCTTTCACTATGACAAGACATGCAGAAAACCTGTTTTCCCTTCAGGCTGAATTACGCTGTTTCAACCTCTGCACCTTGGTTCACTCAGAACCGCCACGTGATGACGAAAGCCTAAAGGGTTTCAGTGCGGTGACTTAGAAACTTCAGAAGGGGGGATAGGGAAGGTGTGTCTGCGGGCACCGCCCTGGGCAGGTCTCGGGAGCGCATCCCGGAGACCCTGTGAATCTGGAAGCCTTCTGGAGACTCCTGTCACCCCAGCCTGCACCACAGACGCCAGCTGAGTCTCAAGGAGCTGTCAGCGGCCGTCTTGGCTGTTCACAGTGCCAGAGCAGGCGACCTGTGAGAAATCTCAAAGATGCTGTGATGCCCATGTCCACAGCCTGCATACACACTTCTGCCTGGATGGCGTCTGAGGGCGGGCCACCTTGCCCTTCTCTGCCTCCTCAGTTCCTGGAAATGCCTCTCGTTGGACCACTCTTAGCACCAGAAAACAAAGGGAGTTCTGGTTCTAGAAAAACATACCTTCTGGCTTCCCTGCACTGCAAAGGACTACACAGGAGGAGACGGTGATGCTGAGGTGATGGACAACCCAGCGCAGTGGTGAAATGCTGACCGATGGAATGAGTCAACTATGAAGGAGAGTGCCTTGGATTTTTCTTCTCTTCTATTAGGAGTTGGGAAAAAAAAAAATAAGCAGTTCTGTTTCTCTATGGTAAACAAGTCTATTTTCCTGACCAGAACAAAGTGCAGAATGAGAAGCCTTCAAAATAAAAAAAGTCTTTTTTCATTGTCAATCTGTCTAAATCAGTACTCAAAACAAATTTTTTTGTGCATAAGATTTCACTTTTTAAATTTAATTTTTTTAAATTGAAGCATGTAATTGCTTTACAGAATCGTGCTGGTCTCTGCCAACATCCAACATGAATCAGCCATAGGTATACATAGACTCCCCTCCCTCTTGAATTTACTTTTTTGTAACAAAAGCAGCAATGACACCGAAGAAGACCCTGTTGCAGCCTCTTCAAGATGCAGTGCTCTCAGTGAAGAACTCAAAAACAACTGCTGGGCACCCAGCAGAGATCTGACCCCAGAGGCTGTCTCCACGGTCTGCTGTCTGAGATCAAGCTCCACCTGTGTCCACATTTGTATTTTCTAGGTGTGATCCCATGCCTACTAAAGACAAGGCTGCATTGTGTTGGAATGGCACCAGACAGTCTTCTACCACTAATCACTGTGCAAAACCAAAACATTTCCATAATATTTAATGACTGATACAGTGGTCAAACCCTTCCTGCGACCCTGTCATTCAATTTAAGCAAAGAGGCTGGTCACGCAAGTATGTCTTCAAAGCACACTAAAAGGAATGATGTGTCATTTGATAAGGAAACTTCTTCAGCTTGAGACTTGGTTCGACTCAAACAGATTCAGATATGTTGACAGTCATGCAAGTAAGCATTGCCTTTCAAAGCGATTCTAAAAATTCACCTAAAGGAAAACGTTGTTCATTAAAAAAATTTGAATACTGTACCGTTTTTCATTTTATTTTTTTCTCTCTTGTATTCCAAATATTTTGTGTAAAATTTTCTAAGTTAAAAAATTTCTTAAAAAGAGTTGATCTGTGTCCCCGTCAAAATAATTTATAAAATATTATATTTTAAATTAAGGTGCTTAAACTCATGTCTCCCAAAGTAAGCACCTTTGCTGTTATTGGGAACTCAGCAAGAAATGAACAGAAGTAGATGCACTTGCCTGTATGAGAATAAACACTTTATCCAATATAATCACAGCAGAAAATTGAGCTGATATGTGGCATCCATAGATAGTCTTAAGAGACTGGCTTACTATACTTCTCTGCACACTTACGGAGAAGGATCACATTCCAGCAGGCCTGATGGGCTTGCGCTGCCTTCAGAATAGGCAGAATGTGTAGTAATTCACCTGCCTGCATCACCCATCCTGTTCAATAAAGCAATCTCATGTAAATGAATAGTCTTGACGTTTCTCATCATTCACTCACGAAACAGTTTTCTACAGGCTCTTGTGTTTGGGTAACAAGCAAAACAGCTTCTACCTATTAGCAGCAAAAGAGGGCCAAAATAAAAACTCTGAGTGAGTTGGTACTCCAGCAAGATGCAAAACGGTAGCCATGTGGTTACACTTCTTCTGTTGCGATGTCAGTGGCAAAAGTGTCAGATGAGTATCAAGTCCCGCAGAAGCGGAATTCTCTTGAAATAAAACTCTCCAGGCACTTTTAAAATCATCTTTATTTTGCTTGCAAAGATACAATTTACTTAGTTACTTAATATTTTATTTGTTCCCAACTGAAGTCTCATAGCTTGCCATGTAAAACATTGCCTTCACTATCAAACCGCTATGTAAGAACATTATAAAATACAAACTATAAAGATGATCTTCTTTGTAGTATTCAGATTAGTGCATTAAAACAACATTGATTCAAAAAGGCAAGTGAGTTAATTGGCAAACATCCAATTTTGCTAATGCAGGATGGTACAAAATGATATGCAAAGGAAACCCAGAATTTTAAGTGTCAGGTGCCCGAAAACAGTAACTGTGGGAAAGTTACTTCCCCAAAGTAATCTTGACCCAAGGACACAAATGTAATCATTATTCTATAGGACAAAAGGGAAGGTAATTAATGTTCCATCATAACAGCTGTGGAGATACACAGCAGAACAAGTTTGGGATCTTTAGAATTCTAACACAATAGGTACTGATTTGTCACACTCTTCCTCCAGATCACATTACACATTTACAGGGACAACACAGTTCCTTGTAAAGGGATGTCAGGCTCAGCAGAACCTATATAAAAACAATCTATCCTTAGCATTTTACTCTGCAGTCTACAACAAATGCTTACTATCCACACATCAGGAGTGAAAGAGATATTAGGAAGTTATTCACTGACTTCACTGAGAATCAACAAGGGTCTTAAGAGAAAAACCAAGATAAAAAGTTAAATAGACAACTTATGCTGCTGTGAACCAGGAAAAAAACAAAATACCAAACACAAACATATATGTTACTTTCTAAAGTTATTGACAATGTTTTCTCTGCTGGCACAAATCAAACTGAAGATCTGTAATCAAAGTAACACAAACATGGGTGCATGTTACATTGTGATGGAAAGATGCACACAGGAAGCACACACACACCTTAAAATTTACTAATTTCCAAAAGCTAAGTCAACAGGAAAAATAAATTATAAATGAAAGGCAAATACAACGTGGGCAGAATAATTATTAGATCAAAAAGCATGAATGTTATGCCAGCAGTGATACATAGGAAAACTTTCAGCATTAGAAAATATAAGATTCAATCCAAAGAAAACTTTCTTCCAAATAAAAATAACAGTACAGGAACCATCCTTTAGGCAACTGCTTTAAAATAATATAATAAAAAAACCCCACCATGATTAAAGGAATCTTCCTACATAATTTACATAATGTAGTGCAGTAGTGCGCTCCTGTATCATCTTAGCCTTTCACTCCCCATATGATGAGACCGATAATTAGAACTCCAATAACAAGGATAAAAATGATGATGCAGAGGGTTTTTCTGGATTTGCGCTGCAGATGCAAAAAACAAAACATGTTTACAGATGTAGTGGAGCATCTCGATGGCAAGTGAACATCATTTGGTTCATTTCTAGAGTAAAATCAACGGTAATTTCTCACCCTCAAATTTAGGGCTATATTTTTTTGCTTTTCAATACATATAGTACTATGCTTTCAAAATATATTCTTGAATTAATGGTACTAATTCAGGGGATAATTATTCAACTTTTGTTGGTGCTTTTTCTAGATATGTGGTTGGGAAAGATACAGAGAAATAAAAATGAAGTGACAGAGTTTACCTATATGTGAAAACAAAAAACAGCTTAAAGATATCAATTTTTAAACTTTTATCAAAAAACTGCTCTTCAAAATGAGTTCTCTGACCATATCAGCAAATATTTGAAAATGTTTCCTAAAGTTTACTCAAGTTTCCCAAATCGTTCTCATCCCTAAATATGAATGGAAACTGCATGCAGAATTTCAACATACAATAAATTTTTAAAAACAGTTTAAAAAATGAAAAAACACTCATTTAAATTATAAAGATTGAGCTTTGCTCCGTTCTTCATTCCTGGCCCAGCTGTAGATTTCTGTATTTCTCTAATGGCTTGTCTATCTCACGACAACATCCAGGAATCTTTTTTCTTACAAAGTAGAAAAGTCTGTAAATTTGCTTTGGGTCAACCAGAAGTAACGTAAAATTTACCAAAAAGATGTTTCTGACTCAATTTTTCTTAAAAACTATTAACACTGCATAGTATTCCACGTGGCCATCTAATTTTTCAACAAAATACTACTCTTCACATCTTAAACACAGTTCATTTCAATTTCATCCTGCCCGTGTATTTTCCCCAGACTCTACCTGGTTACCACAGATGCATCTGTGATGTGCCTTCATCAACAATGACAACTGTTCCACTAGAGAATTTTATTTTCCCTTTGGGTACCATCTCCAGGGGAGGCAAGACTCTGGGGTGCTATGGTGATGAGAACGTTTTCCACCTTCTTTTATGTTCTTAATCTATCCAAACTACTGAGGAGCACCACACCGCATTTTGCAGAGGCATCATGTAATATCAAGGCTGCCAAATGGGACTACCGGGAAACTGCCCGCTTCCCATCACCTGTGCTGTATGGCTCTCCTTCTCATCCCTCCGGGTCCTGTGAGAACCCCCTGGACAGTAAGGAGATCAAACCAGTGAATCCTAAAGGGAATCAACCCTGAGTGTTCCCTGGGACAGATGCCAATGCTCCAATACTTTGGCCACCTGATGCGAAGAGCCAACTCACTGGAAAAGACCCTGATGCTGGAAAGACTGAAGGCAGGAGAAAGGGGCGACAGAGGATGAGATGGTTGGATGGCATCATCGATTCAAGGGACATAAATTCAAGCAAACTCTGGGAGATGGTGAAAGACAGGAAGCTTGGAGGGCTGCAGTCCATGGGGTCGCAAAGAGTTGGACACGACTAAGCGACTAAACAACAACAATAACAACCAGGTCCTGTGGGATTAAGGGTGGGGGCAGTTCTGGCTCTGAAGGTTTAGCTTGGGAAGATGTGTTCCCCTTTTTTTCCCAGAGCAGCTGCAGGTTTTCCTTCCACAGGAAGAGGAGAAGTAAAATTTGGGGATATACCTACATTTCCCTAAAATTCAAAAGCAAAATGAAATGACATTGATGAATCTTGCTGAACACTCTGAGCAGATTTAACAGCTGGCAGTTACAGATTACTCTGGGTGTATGTGTGTGTGTGTGTTCAACTATTCATGAATGATACCTCAGTCTACGATGCAGTGACATTAACTCTGCTGAGCTGCATTGTCTGAATCTCATGCATGAAGACAGTAAACAAGAGTTACTCTGCTGGTGAGCACAACCAGTGGTATAACTCAGCATCCTCTACCCAGCTTCATTGTTCCTGATATGCGACAGAATGTGTACTGACTCGTCCAGTGAAAAACTGTACTAAAACTAAAGGGAATGTCTAAAATCAGCGAGAAAACTGAAAAGCGATTGAACACGTCTAGAAATTTTAGAGGAAGGTGACAATTTCTGAGAAAATAATAATGAACAACTACATCAACAAATAACGAAGCTTTAAAAGGGAAATAAAATAGGGTGGTATTTAGGGGTTCCCAAAGAGAACTTATCTCTGTTAAACATCAAAGATTTACATACTAAATGATATAGTTCATGGTACTAATATTTGTAGTCTTCTGTATATATTTATATTTGACTCATATGTATGGATTTCCTATAGTAACCTGATTCACTTTAGGGATCATGTGATTGCTGGTGAAGGGTATGATAAATGCTGACCCAATACCCATTGGTCAAGGACACTCCAAGCTAATAAAATTTCCACAGGACCTGAGACATCTTTCTGGGACAAGGATCTTAGCCTCTTCAGTCCAAAGTATCACAGACCAAAAAGAAAGGCAGAAAGGAACAGCGAGGAATGGAGGGAAATCACTATCAAATAGGTTTCTTGATTGAAATGTGAAAATGACATTGGAGACCAGAAGCTGCCAGAAAAGACTGGAGTTGTCTACCGCTCCCCTCAAGACTCTAAATGCTAAACTGCCCGTTCCTGTGGGCACAACACTTGTTTAATCCTGAGAACACACAGTTTTAAAGGACTGGCATATTTCTGGCCTGTCTTCCATGGGATTTTAGATGTTAACATCTCCAGCCACATGTTTACACACACACACACACACACACACACACACCACACACACACTTAAGTCTCAGTTACAGGACGGTTCAGCACAGCTGATATTACCTGATAGTCCCACACACACACACTTAAGTCTCAGTTACAAGACAGTTCAGCACAGCTGATATTACCTGATAGTCACACACACACACACACGTCTCAGTTACAGGACAGTTCAGCACAGCTGATATTACCTGATAGTCACACACACACACACACACACACACGTCTCAGTTACGGGACGGTTCAGCACAGCTGATATTACCTGATGGTCACACACACACACACACACACACACGTCTCAGCTACAGGGCGGTTCAGCACAGCTGGTATTACCTGATAGTCACTCACACACACACACACACACACACACGTCTCAGCTACAGGACGGTTCAGCACAGCTGATATTGCCTGATGGTCACACACACACCACACACACACACACACACGTCTCAGCTACTGGACGGTTCAGCACAGCTGGTATTACCTGATAGTCACACACACACACACACACACCACACACACGTCTCAGCTACAGGACGGTTCAGCACAGCTGGTATTACCTGATGGTCACACACACACACACACACACACACACACACACACACACACGTCTCAGCTACAGGACGGTTCAGCACAGCTGATATTGCCTGATGGTCACACACACACCACACACACACACACACACGTCTCAGTTACAGGACGGTTCAGCACAGCTGGTATTACCTGATAGTCACTCACACACACACACACACACACACACACACACACGTCTCAGCTACAGGGCGGTTCAGCACAGCTGATATTACCTGATGGTCACACACACACACAGACACACACACACACACACACACACACACACGTCTCAGCTACAGGGCGGTTCAGCACAGCTGGTATTACCTGATGGTCACACACACACACACACACACACGTCTCAGCTGCAGGGCGGTTCAGCACAGCTGGTATTACCTGATAGTCACTCACACACACACACACACACACACACACACACACACACGTCTCAGCTACAGGACGGTCAGCACAGCTGGTATTACCTGATAGTCACACACACACACACACACACACACACACACGTCTCAGCTACAGGACGGACAGCACAGCTGGTATTACCTGATAGTCACTCACACACACACACACACACACACGTCTCAGTTAAAGGACAGTTCAGCACAGCTGATATTACCTGATAGTCACACACACACACACACACACACACACACACGTCTCAGTTACAGGACGGTTCAGCACAGCTGATATTACCTGATGGTCACACACACACACACACACACACACACACACACACGTCTCAGCTACAGGACGGTTCAGCACAGCTGATATTGCCTGATGGTCACACACACACCACACACACACACACACACACGTCTCAGCTACAGGACGGTTCAGCACAGCTGGTATTACCTGATAGTCACACACACACACACACACACACACGTCTCAGCTACAGGACGGTCAGCACAGCTGGTATTACCTGATAGTCACACACACACACACACACACACACGTCTCAGCTACAGGACGGACAGCACAGCTGGTATTACCTGATAGTCACTCACACACACACACACACACACACGTCTCAGTTAAAGGACAGTTCAGCACAGCTGATATTACCTGATAGTCACACACACACACACACACACACACGTCTCAGTTACAGGACGGTTCAGCACAGCTGATATTACCTGATGGTCACACACACACACACACACACACACGTCTCAGCTACAGGGCGGTTCAGCACAGCTGGTATTACCTGATAGTCACTCACACACACACAAACACACACACACACGTCTCAGCTACAGGACGGTTCAGCACAGCTGATATTACACACACACACACACACACACACACACACACCCCTCAGCTACAGGACGGTTCAGCACAGCTGGTATTACCTGATAGTCACACACACACACACACACACACACGCACACACACACACACATGCACACACACACACACATCTCAGCTACAGGACGGTTCAGCACAGCTGGTATTACCTGATAGTCACACACACACACACACACACACACGTCTCAGCTACAGGACGGTTCAGCACAGCTGATATTGCCTGATGGTCACACACACACCACACACACACACACACACGTCTCAGCTACAGGACGGTTCAGCACAGCTGGTATTACCTGATAGTCACACACACACACACACACACCACACACACGTCTCAGCTACAGGACGGTCAGCACAGCTGGTATTACCTGATAGTCACACACACACACACACAC